TAGACGATTTTAGTCTCCTTTAAGGCGTTCTGCTTTGTGTCTGGAGAGTTTTTCATGAGTAGGTTGGCCGTTTATTTGGTTTTATAGTAAATCATCAATTGTATCTTCTGATTTTTGTCTGTAGGGATAACGTTCCTATTAACCAAATCTTTCAGGACCCATTCCTCCGTTTTATGAGCTGTGGAAAAGAAGTTCTGTAAAATAGTCTAATAGGGGGTACAGGTGTTGTGTTAGTTGACTCTTCAGAGGTTGCATGGCATTTCACCTTCCTTTTTATGATGTCTTCAACGAAACCATTGGGGAAGCCGTTGTTGACTAGGACCTGCCTTATCCTACATAGTTCTTCAACGACTTGCTTCCATCATGAGCTGTGGCTGAGAGCACGGTCGACGTAAGCGTTGACAACACTCCTCTTCAACCTGTCTGGGCAGTCACTCATGGCATTGAGGCACATTCCTATGTTTCCTTAGTGTAGACTGCAGTATGGAAACCTCCGCTCCTTTCCATGACTGTTACATCTAGAAAGGGCAGCTTTCCATCCATCTCCATCTCATAAGTGAAACTAAACAAAGAATTCTGCTCGAATTCCTCCTTCAGCTCCTGGAGACGTCTGACATCAGGTACCTGTGTAAAATTGTCGCCAAAATATTTGCAGTATATGGCAGGTTTCAAGTTCATGTCAACTAAGACCTTCTGTTCGATGGTACCCATGTAGAAGTTTGCAAACAGGACTCCTAGGGGAGAACCCATGGAGATCCCATCTACTTGCTTATACATGTGCCCATCAGCGCTCAAGAAGGGTGCCTCTTTAGTACAAACTTGGAGTAGTTTCCTTAGAACGTTTTCTGGTATGTCAAGAGGAGTACAGGCCGCATCACGATACACTCTGTCCGCTATCATCCCGATTGTTTCATCCACAGGTACGTTGGTAAACAGTGATTCTACATCCAACGAGGCACTTATTCCTGTGGCCTGTGTTCCCCAAAGTAAGTCAACAAATATATTTGGAGACTTCAGGCTGAAAACACAAGGTACATAAGAAGTCAGTAAGCCGTTGAGTCGCTTCGCCAGTCTGTACATTGGTATGGGTATCTGGCTTATGATTGGCCGAAGTGGGTTTCCAGGCTTGTGTGTCTTGACATTTCCATATGCATACCCAGGTTTGTATTCCCCAATAATCTTTGGCAGGTGGAGTCCGGATTTCTTGGCTTCCGCAGTTTCGATCAATCTGTTTACCTTTGCTTTCAACTCGACTGTAGTGTCCTTCGTTACTCTTTGGAATTTAGTTTGGTCAGAGTGTTTGAGGTTCATTTTCGCCAGATATTCGTCTTTTTTAAGAAGGACATATATTGGCGACTTGTCACCTCTCCTGAAGACTATCTCCTTGTTCTCACGAAGGATCTTAGCTGCCGCTTTCAGCTCGGGGAACAGTATGGTGCTTCTGTAGTTGCCTCGAATCTTTCCTCCTTCTGCAATAATTTCTGCTTGCAAGGTGTCTCTACTGGTGACCTTCCTTTTTGTCTCGAGGTCGAATATGTCGTCCAACAGGATCTCCAACTCCACGTTCCAGGCCAGGATAATCAAGACCAGGATAATCAATTACCAGGATAATCAAGAAACTAACAACATTATATGGAGAACCTTTGGCGATTCCACGACCAAGAGATGGTTTCCTGAACCTTGCTGGAATCAACCTCACTGAGGATCAAGTCAATCTCCTAAATCTAAATAATAAATAAGAATAAACGGTCACGTTATCTCCAGATCGAGTGAGATGGCGTTTGTGTTTCCAGGGTATGAGCAACACACAGGCTATAATAAATATGTTACAATTCCATTTCAATGTTTATGATGGCATTGATAAATTGAATTTTCATACATTTTGATTTTTTTTCGTTTTGATTTAATTATTTTGTGTGAATTGCATTGGAATTAAGCTGTGTTGTTTACCATACCGTTCAATTCATGAGTATAGTTTATTTTTTTTATTTTTTCATATTTTATTGTATTTTTTTAACTTTTTTCTTTTATTTCAGGGATGGGAACATCAGATCACTTGATATTCACAATTTTCTGATGGGAACCTCAGAACATATGGGAAGGCCTCGGACGAGGGAGTGGGGAATGGTGGGGACGACGAGGGGACAGGGGGAGTGGGGCATGGTGGGATGGAAGAAGGGATGGAGGAGTGGGGAATGGTTGGGAGGCCGAGGAGACGGGTTAAGGGGAATGGTGAGGAAGACTAGGGGGGACAGGGAAAGTTGCTGTGGCCGGGTACTGCTATTATATATATATATATATATATTCTTTGTTGTAGCTCTCTCTTGTTGTGTTCACTCTGTTTTTTGCTGTGTCCGAGTGCTTTTTATCTTCCTGTGAGCATTTATTGTTAAACTATTGTCTACTTTATTCTTTTCTATGAGATGTTTTCCCTGACTCATGTTGGTTCATCTTTGTATTTCTCGTTATAATTGAAATCAAGACTTCATGAATCATATAGAATTTCCACTCCATAATATATCAACCTGTCCTCTTACAAATTACTTCTGAATTTGGCCCTTTGCCCGTATAGCCGAAAATGAGCGTAATTTTGAAAATGAAAAATTTGAAATTTTTTTTTAGATTTTTTCCAAAACAGTAAGTTAAGGGTCCCCCTGATCTCCTAAGGGTTAGGAGATCAGGTAAGTCTCATAAAGTTTAAAACGTCATGGAAAACGTTACGTGAATGTTTCCTTTCCTAACCTTACCGAGTAAGCCAGTCGACTCAAACTGAAAACGGGGCAGAGTATCACTTATGTGAGCCAATTTCATTTCAAATTATGTCTATTTTTGGCCATGGAGCGCATACAAGCGAAAAGGGACGTTATTTTTAAGAGGACGGGTTGAATATATAGTTCCACAATACATCAGTAACATTGTGTTTCAACATCAGTTTGAAAAGAAAACAAGAAAGCGTCCTTGCAACTATTTATTTTCTAACTTTAAGTTTTATTAAAGCATTAGTTTTTATTAGCATTAAAGATTAGCATTAAAGTTTTCTAACTTTAATGCTAATCAAAATTAGCATTAAATTCAGGTGAAGAAAGCCACGTCAAGCATTGTAATGTTTTGGGTGATGTTTCAGACAACTTCCAATGTAAATATTATACATATCACAATCGACTTGAGAATGGTCCAGGACGGACCGAAACGTCTTCGTCAATTCACTTTCTAGTGTGTGGTTTGGTCAACATATTTCAGCCATATTATTGAGACTCTTCGTCTGCAACTTCCAATGTATTATTGAACACGATCATTCAGTAGCTCCATAATGACTCAGGAGCTCAATAAGTCAAATTAAGGCTCTAAGATCATCCGGAGATCCATGACTCTACATGAGGTCAGTGACCATCAAGGAGCTCTATGATTATGCATAATATATATAATCAAACATGATCTCTATGACTATATTAAAGCTTCTTAATTATATTGAATCTCAATAAGACATAAGCCCCTTGATCATGCAAGAGCTCAATTAATAACATGCAGGAACTCAATTATTGTTAACTCCATAAATATGCCTTAGATTAATGATCATCCTGATGCTCAATGATTACTTATGGGCTCAAAACCATACAGTTCATACAAGAGTTCTAGGATCATTGAGGAACTTTGTGAACATGCAGGAAATCCATTATCATACAGATTCAGTATTCTGTATGTCTCATGTATAAGCAACCATCTTATATATGGATACTCTCTGATAATTCAGGAGCATCTTTATTTTACAGGAGTTACATGATCATACAGCAGCAACATTATCATGGAGGAATACCATTATTATACAGGAGCTTCACTATTATACAGGACTTTAAATATTAAACAGGGATAGATTATAATACAACAGCCTCATGATCATGCAGCAACCTAACGATTGTGCGGTAACACAGTTTCATTCAGGAGATGTATGATCATACAAGAGCTCAATGATAAAAAAGTAGCTTCCATCATCCTCAAGGCGCTTCATTATTCTTAAATTACTGGTTCTTCGTGAGTTCAATTATCATGATGCGGTTTCGTGATTATAGGAAAGTGCCAGGGCTAAACACGAGTTCAATGATAGCTGAGGAATGCATTGATTATATTGGAAGGCATTGATTGCAGAGTATACTTGAAGTGAGTTCAAGTTTTTTTTCGACTCCCTCGCCTTGGGCCAGGCTTGACTTCTGATAACATGTTCCAAAAGGCTGTTCCTTGGAGCAGCCGGCAGACACAAATAACCCCTACAACCTGGTTGGTCTGGGATTTTGTCGCAGGATCTTTCCTAATTGTTTCTAGAGCATATCCACTTCTGTCCTGGCAATATCTATAAGGTTTACGAGTAGAGAATTGTATAGCCGTGAAGGTCTGGTGCTCAGGCAGTGTTCTCTAATTGCGCCTATAGGATCTCTACTCACTGATTCTAGTCTTCATTTTCTACCATAAATATTGTTATTCTGTTGTTGAAACTCTGGACCTAGCCGCCTAGTATTGGTGATGTATGTATTAATTGATGCCACTCTCTCGTCTCCTTACTAGAGAGTACGTTTCGAGAGCTTCGAGACGGTCCCAATAATTTAGGTGTTCTCTCGTGTCCCTGAGTGCTGTTTATGTTCTCTGTAGTCACTCTGTTTCTAAAACGTCCACGATCAAACCAGTTTAATGCAGGCCACACATGATTACATAAGCTTCGTGAACATAAAGGAGTTCAATAGTCATATGGAATCCCCATTATTATACAGGAAACATATTATCATTCCGAAACTCAAGAATAATCCAGGAGCCCAATGATTATACAAATGTAAATTGATAATTCAGGCGCTCAGTGAATATACAGTAACTTTATGATTATGCAGAAGATCCATGATCATCCAATAGCTCAATGGTCCTACTGAAGCTGAATAATCTTATATAAGCAAAATAATCCATATATAGGATCTTAAGTATCATACGGAAACTCCAAAATCATAAAAGAACGACATTATCATATAGGAGCTAAATGATGGTTCAGGAGATCCATGTCACAGGAAATCTCCATGATCATACAAGCGATTATTGAGCATGAAGGAGTTTCAATTTGTATAGGATCACCATGATCTTTCAGGAGCTCATTCATCATACAGCAGCTTCATAAGCTTCATGATCATACATAAGATAACTTTCTGTAAATATTCTTAGTGCTGGTGCAGAATCTTAATAATCAATTAAAAGCTTAGTAATCACGTAGGAGCTTAGTAATCATGCAGGATCGTAGTGATCATGCAGGAGCTCCATGCCCAGGACAAGCAGACTGAGACCAAGGCCGAACACCAGCACAAGAAACATGCCCTGGAAGTTTTGAATTTATGGTGAGAATATGACAGTATATTATTGAATTTGTAAATGTTGTGTTATATGAACATATCACAATCTCTCATACACAGCCATGTAAAATTAACGCAAACAATACATAAAACAATTAGTTTATAAGTGGATATTACCCAGATGTTAACAAAGGAAAGTGAAGTCTGGACAGCAACCTTGGTCGGCATATTGGAACAGGAGGAATAATTTGGGAACAATTGCTTCAGCCACTGATTGTAGAGCCCGGCTTCATTGATCATCATGATTCTGGTAAGCATAAGGATATATAGCAGAGCAAACTGAAAGATAATTATTAATCGTAAGTGGTTTCAATTATCATGAATCTGTATACAGCTCTCAAGAGTGAGTCAGCATCTTCCTGGAGAACTGCATCAGAAAAACAAAGTAGAGGTATATGGAAAGATTACTTGTATATTATGGCGTACACCTGGGTCTTACCCCCCCCCTCCCCCCTCCCCATTCATACATTGTCATTGCTCATTTAAGGGGAGCACCTCAGTCAATCACGGGGAAGAATCCCACACTCAGCCTTGTACAGCCCGTCCTCCTAAGGTTTCCCAAAGCCAAGAAAACTGTTCATTTAAGGTGTCTTCTCTTTACCTACCAGAGGATCCAAAACAGAAAACAAGACAGTACGTCACTTTCGCGAGTCGCTTCCATTTTCTTGCATGAACATTTTTGGCCATATGTAACGCCTACGATCGAAAAGCGACGTTCTTTGTAGGAGGACAGATTGCCTTGTGACCCAGTGGCAAGTGAGTAAAACCGGCTTCTTCCGGGTCTCCAAACTATACATTCACTGGCACTGATCCAGATTCCTTGCTGCCGATTTTCCCGCTATAAAACTTGATAGCCTGGATCGCCAATCTGGCTCAATCAAGGTCGGATAATTGCTATAAATACAGTGGTAAATCTATCTCAGCCTGGTGTTTTCTTAATCTAGTTCAGTGTTCTAACCCAGCCCCAGGCAAATAATATAGTGTGTGAAGATAACTGGGAAACGAAATACAATGAATAGTAGTATAAAACATTTTTCTAGAATCAAAGTACACTGGATTACCGCCGAAAATACCTTAACTGTCACTATGTGGCAACACTCTTCGGTGAAATTCAGTAACAATGTGGCAACACCTTTCAATAAATATTATCAAATCTCATTAGGCTCTTATTTTACTAAAAGTTTTCCAGCAAAGAATATTACTATAAATTCATTTATATTAAAGTTGCCTATATCTTTTCATCAATAACGTGATTTATTTGGATCAAATAAATTATAGTGCATTTTTTAAACGTACTCTATCATGTCTTACTTTAGGCTTCCTCTTGCCACAATACATCACTGCGTACATGAAACAAAAAATATTGACCCGTTATCAAACAAGGGGAATGGGGAGGGAAATTAATCTACCTTACTATTGAAGAAAGAAGGCCTCTGTCCTAGCCGTCTGTGGCAGTTGGTAGATGTTCCCACTGGAACTTCTGTGTGGTCCCTACAGAGTTCCTCTTCAATCCTCCTTAGTAAAAACACGGAAGATCTCTACTTGCAGCTGGTCGACGAACTTCCGACTACTGATTTCCTCAAGAGATCTCACTATGATTTGGCGAAGGCTTCCCAGACCCTCATCCGTTCCCAATACTGAATACTGGACTCCTTCTCCTTTGTAGAAGTGCTGTATCTCAGTACCAGCTTCCCCCAGTGCTGAAATTCTGCCTTGACACTTGGACCAGGACTTGCCACCTAAACGCTCTTCACAGTTCTTGGAGCAGCCAGCAGATCGAGTCTCGATCCTCCAGCACCGCCTCTTGAGACACACAGGAGTACCGACGCCACGGAACTGCTTATGACCTCCTGTCACGGTCCAACTTTCCAACTCTACTTCTAGAAGTCGATCAGTAACTCCTAGTCGTTGCCTCTCAAGGATTGTTTAGTGTATTGTCCCCTATGGTGATTTAAACCTCACCTATGTGAGGTTGTAGCCTATGTAAGAGAGACGGTGGCTGAGCGGACAGAACACTGGACGAATGATCCTGTGGTCTCGGGTTCGATCTCGGGCGCCGGCAAGAAACGATGGGCAGAATTTCTTTCACCCTGATTCCCCTGTTACCTAGCAGTAAATAGGTACCTGGGAGTTAGTCAGCTGTCACGGGCAGCTTCCTGGCGGTGGAGATACGGTCGAGGACCGGGCTGCAGGGACACTAAAGCTGCGAACTCATCTCAAGATAAGACGTGGAACCGACGTGCGACGCGGCCCATCACATTCTTCCCTACTTGGCTAGTGACAGCGGGAAGCATTTTCTCCACTAGAACCTCGGGCGCTGACGTCAAAATACTTCACGCCATGGACGCTCTCTGACTGGATAGACAAGAAACACTCCGCATCCTCCCAATCAAATTCCCATAAAACCATGAGACACAGTATCACAACATCAGAAGTATTTGACGGGAATTCTTCGTCTCCAAGAGTCGATCCAACACCTATGCTGCAGTGCTAACTCTCACCTCCCAACGAACTTAAAACTTAAATATCTCAAATATTCGGCATCTTGCCTCCCTCTAAAAGTTATTAAATGAAAATATGTGCCTTCTTTGCTATGGACATAAGGAAGTATGACTCTTAATGGTCGGTTTTCCAGAGTGGAACGAAACGCTGTAGAAAGCAAGCCCTTCATTAATCATTAGGGGGGTCTTTTCCATGAATTTCCGTAGCTTGATTTTTCTTCTGAATCCCGAGAGCAAGAACTTAATTATTATAAATATCTAATAAGGATATATATATATATATATATATATATATATATATATATATATATATATATATATATATATATATATATATATATATATATATATATATATATATATATATATATATATATATATATATATATATATATATATATATATATATATATATATATATTATTAAATATGACCGAAAAAGTAAGATTAATAATTCTAACACGAATTTTCTCAATATTTCTTATGTTTCTTTTCACTGTCGATGGTAATTGAAAAATCAGTTCTCCAAAATTCATTTTCATTTCTAGTCTGACGCGACGCTTGAACGCGTTTCATAATAACTTATTACATTTTCAAAGACTTTAGTTTACACACACACACAATTATAACCTTTCCTTATGTCCCTTGCGCCTTCAGCCTGAAGTCTCCAAAGGAATTTGTTGACTTACTGTGGGGAACACGGGCCACAGGGATAAGAGCCTCGTTGGACGTAGAATCACTGTTTACCAACGTACCTGTGGATGAAACAATCGGGATGATAGTGGATAGAGTGTATCGTGATCCGGCCTGTACTCCTCTTGACCTACCAGAAAACATTCTAAGGAAACTACTTTAAGCTTGTACTAAAGAGGCGCCCTACTTGAGCCCGGAAGGGCACATGTATAAGCAAGTAGATAGGGTCGCCAGGGGTTTTTCCCCTTGGTGTCCTGTTTGCGAACTTCTACATGGGTACCATCGAACGAAAGGTCTTAGTCGACATGAACTTGAAACCGGCCATATACTGCAGGTATGTTGACGACATTTTTACACAGGTACCTGATGTCTGACATCTGCAGGAGCTGAAGAAGGCATTTGAGCGGAATTCTGTGTTGCGTTTCACTTACGAGATGGAGAAGGGTGGGAAGCTGCCCTTTCTAGATGTAACAGTCATGAAAAGGAGCGGAGGTTTCCATACTGCAGTCTACACTAAGGAAACAAACATAGGAATGTGCCTAAATGCCAACAGTGACTGCCCAGACAGGTACAAGAGGAGTGTTGTTAATGTTCATGTCGACCATGCTCTCAGCCACAGCTCAGGATGGAAGCAAGTCGATGAAGAGCTCCGTAGGGTAAGGCAGGTCCTAGTCAACAACGGCTTCTCCAATGGTTTCGTTGAAGACGTCATAAGAAGGAAGGTGAAACGTCATGCAACCTCTGAAGAAACAACTAACACAACACCTGTACCCCCTATTAGACTATTTTACTGGAACTTCTTTTCCACAGCTCATAAAACGGAGGAAAGGGTCCTGAAAGATATTGTTAATAGAAACGTTATCCCTACAGACAAAAATCAGAAGATACAATTGACGATTTATTTTAAATCCAAGAAAAATGCCAACCTACTCATGAGAAACTCTCCAGACATAAAGCAGAACGCTTTGAAAGAGACCAATGTCGTCTATGCCTTCAAATGCCCACTTGGGGACTGTAAGCCTCAAAGAACTCAGTATATAGGCAAGACAACAACATCTCTTTCCAGGCGATTAACGATGCATAAGCAACAGGGCTCCATTAAGGAACATATAATCTCTTCCCACAACCAGACCATCACCAGAGAAGTCTTAACAAAAAACACAGAAATCATCGATAGATACAGCAATAGCAGGCGGCTTGATATCTGTGATGCACTATACATTAAGAAGTCAACACCAGCAGTCAACAGCCAATTAATGCACAACTATATTCTACCTCACCTTGAGGTTACCTTGAGGTGCTTCCGGGGCTTAGCGTCCCCGCGGCCCGGTCGTCGACTAGGCCTCCTGGTTGCCGGACTGATCAACCAGGCTGTTGGACGCGGCTGCTCGCAGCCTGACATATGAGTCACAGCCTGGTTGATCAGGTATCCTTTGGAGGTGCTTATCCAGTTCTCTCCTGAACACTGTGAGGGGTCGGCCAGTTATGCCCCTTATGTGTATTCTACCCACTTCAAGACTCCGCACCACTATTGAAGCATCAAGAAATATGGGCCAATAGGCCCTCTGCATTTACTTCCATTCTTCCCCTTTAACTTTACCCAATATTACCCAATATTTCGTGTTCTATCTTGTGTTGAAAGTTTATTTTCAGCTCATCCAAAACTGTTGTAACATATCAACTCACCCAAATGCAGGTATATAAAATGAAAAACCATTTGAATTATAGCATAGTAAGAAATCTGTTTTAGTGTTTGCAGGTTATAGTTGTGTGTGTGTAAACTAAATTCTTTGAAAATGTAATAAGTTATTACGAAACGCGTTCAAGTGTCGCGTAAGACTAGAAATATAAAGGAATTTTGGAGAACTGATTTTTCAATTACATTCGACAGTGAAAAGAACCATAAAAAATATTGAGAAAATTTGCGTTAGAATTATTAATCTTACTTTTTCGGTCATATTTAATAGTATAGGTCTACAGGAAAGACTGCTACCAATATATATATATATATATATATATATATATATATATATATATATATATATATATATAT